TCTCTCTCTCTCTCTCTCTCCCCTGAAGACATTGCTTCAACAAAGACTTTTCACTTATTACACCTTGAAAACTAAATATGTTTTTATTTATTGTCAACGGATGCCAGTTGATATCAGAAAGAAAAATAAAGGTTGATTTACCATTCTTAACCTGAACGAATATTGTATTACAAAATCATGCCTAATTTTTTATTTTTTTAAAAATAAAAACACCTATCAAATAGGTATAAACTTTCTCTCTATCGAACAAGATTTTTACCAAAAAATCGACGGTGTAGAATATATATATACAGCTTTCATTGAGGGATATTTCAAATAAGCTTATTTAAGAGACACTCTTGTAAGGCTTACTTCGGATTATATTTCACTAATCCAAACCCTTCTATTTTGTAGATATTCATTCAATTATCATCTCTACAAAAAAATCACTTCAATATGATATAATTTGACCACTCAATTAAATAATTGAAATTTTAGTACCTTCTTGAAGTCCATGTTTTTTGATTTTGTAGGACACAATTAGATGTCTAATTCCGATTTGTCTAATTTTTTGCATGGATGATCTATGAATGAAGACTTAAAAAATAGATGGTTTGAATCGTTGAAAAAAAATCCGTATTGTACCCTAAAGGGCGTCCCTCAAATAAAATTATTTGAAAAATCCCTCAATAAAAGGGATATATATATATATATATACACATTAATCCTTTATATTTGGATTCATAAACCCAAAAAAAAATTATAAGTTTTTCTTGCAAATAATTATGGAATATGGGTTTCTTAAATTCCATCGTTGTCATTTGAAAAATTCCAAAACAATAATCTATCCACCGCCTTCCCTTATCTTATGGGCGAAGGTGGCAAGGTATGTACTAAAACGTCATATTGATCGATTTGCAATGTGGGGGACTAAAATGATGATTTGTGATAAGAATGATAACGAGAGTGAAAACTTGAGTTGCATATTCACTCAAAATTATTATTGGGAGGAAAGAAGGTAGGGTCATTAGAGTCAACCCCTCATTGTTCACTTGCCCTCCAAGACTCATCTAAAGACTCTAATATCACGTATTCAAGAAATTCTTCACGAGAGTAAACGATCATATTCAATTAATTGAGTGAAGCCCCAATTTGCTCCTCCATCTAAGATCTTCAGTTTCCTCCTCCTTCCCAGTATCTCTTGTATAAAATATTATAAAAATAATAATTAATTTATTTTTATATTAAATGACACTATTATGAACATGATGGTCTCACGATTGAAAAGCAAGTGTACAATATCCACGTACTGTTCTCTGATAGGGCCAGATACTTGCTAAGTCAATTTACTAAAGTTGGGATTGACAAAATGAACCATGACCTTGATGGAAATTAAGGAGAGGGAAATACTTGCCTCCTTCTCAGGAAATAAGAGCTCTTATTTCTTTGTCAATCACAGAATGACATGTATGTAGAGATTTTTCTTTTGATGTTTTTCATGAATTATTTTTGTCTATGTGTCAAACTGTAATTTGCATAAAGTAAGAATGTCTCTTTCCAGGGAGAGAGAAGCAGTGTCCTTAAGAA